GTGGTTTGGGTCAGTGCCACCACATGTTAACGTCAATGATATATCAATGTCTGTACATGAACGAAATCCAAACCTTAAGCTCCAATCAGTGATAGCGAGCGACGATGTCTTCAATATGAGTCTTTCCCCACAGCATAGATATGCATTTGTGTAGGTTTTGTTTATTACCTCACTTTTTATAGTATCCGGTCGCCCCTAGTGTTTATATATGGTGAGGCCATGATGTCGTTTCTGGTCTTGCACAAGCTGCCCTTTTCTTTATGGTAGAAATAATATTCGCCCTGAGGATGATACAGGTATTCAGTGTTTGACAACGCTTTTACCAGCAACACCTTCTAATAGAATTTGTACCCACCGAGAGAAATCAAAAGACAGAGTCGAGGAGATCGGAAGAGTGTATTTGGTAATAACCAATATATCGGAAATCTCTGGTCTAATCTGACTAGCGATTGCGATAGATGTTGAGCACAGCGTTACCACACGTGATCTGGTGCGGATCCATAACCGAGCGCCTTCAGCTAGATGAGTCCACTAAAACATATGGTCAGCATCCAATGTCGAAAATTTACAGAGCTATTTATTTTAGGGATTTATTTACCGCCACAGCCCACTTACGAAAGCAAAATATTATTATTTTTAATGACTTCAGTTGATTCGTCCTCATGATTACTATACAATTTAAACAAGCTGAAGCATATAGGACAACATTTACGTGTTTTTCATGACTTACTGGAAATGAAGTCGCGCCGTACATCTTTGTTTTCTTCACGAATAAAATTAATAACTGATATTTGAGTACGTATACTAAGTATAAATCTTGAAGGAATTAGATTTTCCACAGTTATGAGAATCAGTTTGGCTTAAAATGATAATTTCCTTAATAGTTCGGAGTTTTTTTAGTACGACTTCTGTTGGAAATAATTCTTTTGTCTATTGAGGTGATTCTCCTACTGGAACAGACACTGAACATGTGAGTAGACGGTTCCAGACTAGCAGAACTGATACTACCATCTACTAAAATACAATGCTATCAAAGGAAAAATTCTGGGGGACAACCACCCAGACAGATATTGGTCAATTACTTCGGAATTATACTAGCCGGCATGCAAACTGCATAAAATGTTCAGTGTTAACTCATAGAAGGGTAAATGAATCTATGTATGATAAACCTTCTCATGATATAATTTGAAATATGCTGTGCCTATGGATAGCACCGATCAGCTTATAACACACTCGGCAGGATGCAAACGATGGTTCGAAAGCAATAGATACTCGTATCATACATGGGACCGTACCTTACTTACCCCCCTCCCCCAGGGCTTGTGAAATTTTACCTCCAGTAATAAGTATCAGAAATAATTTATGCTATATTGAAAAATGCAGTCATGAATTTGGTTTGGTAGAGTACTTTAAAGGTTACTTATAACTTTAGGTTCATTGAATAATTCATTTCTTCATGCCATTATGGGATTCCTTGGAATTACTTTTCGTGAATTTTACGCCAGGATGAATACATTACCTTCAACCTTATTTGCTCATATAATAATTCCAAACTGACTGTAGTGAACAATAACACGAGTGGGAACAATCAAATGCATTTAAGCACAAAATTACAAAGCATCTCAACAAAATTTGAGAACCGTATAGTAAATGGTTAATTTGCAAAATACCAATCCATCTTCTCAGCTTTGACTGTTCCTTTGCAAATGTCAGTACATTGTGTCATATTTCATTGTTCATGCATTTTCATACCGACTACGTTCTTTTCTTATCGATCTTCTGCTGAAATACATTCTATACCTGGCCACAGTTATATACTATTCATATGGATATAAGTAACCCACTGACGTCAGAAACTTGATGTAAAAGTTTGGCTTAACCAAAATGGATCTCGGTGGATCATCTGTAGAACAAGCTGATACAACACTAGGCTGGATTACATTGTCATCCACCAGACATCAGGATCAATAGATATCTTTTGTTCGTATCACTTTGGACAAAGCGACCATGGCCTCAACTTATTTTCCATCCCCATAACGGATTTGCGACATGGGTGTATCCATATCCGCTGTAATACCTGGGCAGTTCTTAGGGTTCATGTTGGGTCACATCTGCCCGTGATTCTGGAACGTATGCGAGTAGTGTATAAAAAGTACACCATCAAGACCAACAAAATGCAACGCAATACCCCATCCAAAACAACAGTGTCATTCAACACTAGTATAGGCAAAATCAAAAGCAATATTATGGTAGTTACTGCCCGAGATCATACACCAATGAAATTACCTACTGTTGTATATACCTCACTTTGTATTAACGGTAAGAAGTAACATGTGCGTGTTCTCAAGGAAAATGGTAACAACATAGCTTCCAGTGTTAAAAATCAAAAACGAAGAAGTCAGACAAAACTCTGATTTTGTTTCATGTCCCAGTATCGGGAAACAGATTCCCGGAACGTAAGGGCAGTCTTTGATACAGAATAGTGGAACAAGTACTGTGCAGTGTTTGGAATGACAGCCATTTCCGTACAACTGCTCCTTCAGTATAGGGGCCAACATGCACAAGAAGGTAAACCCTCTCCAGTAAGCCTAGTCTTAAATTCAGCTCATGTTACGGAAGAAATCTTATTGGTGTCTTAGAAACTATAGGGCAATAAGATTTTTCGAATCCGAGTTTGACACTGAGTAGGTCATGGGCCTTAAGAGATGTCGCTTGGAATGGTGGATTGCAGTCAGGACTAAGCTAATAGACACGACACGCAGCACTGGGGTTGGCAATGACTTGCTACAAACCTTCACATCACCAATGCAGTTGGCGTGTTCCGGTTTCTTCAACCGCTGTACCTCACGACCGTTGAGTCTCAATACCTGATGGATGAGAACTTCCAAAGTCCAGAGGACTTAACGGATGCTCTCTAGAGATGGCGCGGCATGGTGAATGACCTTTTTAGCCTCATTAGTTGTTGTATGGACCTAACTAGATCGGCAAGACAATGATAGAATATAACAGATTGAATATAAATTGATGTCTGCTGGCCTAGATCAGGAACATACGACACAGTTCCCACAGGATTGACGAACTTGCTTTCAATAAAAATATTTTCATAACTCTGAAAACAGATGTCGACATGAATGATCCTTAGGCGATGAGACAAACCGCTACTACCGCTATAGTAACGTAAAGTTACTTAGGAGTAAATTATTAAAGAACTAGGACACGAACTTCCAGTTTAATCTCTATCGGATGTTGACTAAAGGAAAACTCACAAACCGATGGGTTGGTCCCATCGAAGTGCCTAACGGTGGAGATCTTACCAACACAGAGATGGCTGAAATCTTAACTCGCAACCTCACTAATCAGTTCAATCAGAATCAAACAAAATTGGAACACTCCCCAACTCTGATGAGAGTCGGTGGTTTAAGAAATTTCCATCGAACTCCCAGGTAAGCACTTGCAAAACTAAAGTGCGTGAGCTCAGGAAAATCATCAGGATATGACAAAATCCTCCCTGAAATTCTGGAACAATGCACGAGAGCAATAAGTTCACCAGTATGCGAGCAGTTCAGGCCCTCGCTAGAGTCACATCAACATCCATATAATCACTCACCTCAAATCGTGTTGAAACAAAGAGAAGTAAGCTCAAGGAACTCAAACAATTTGTAAAAATTCTTCTAATGTTAATGGTTATATTGGTTATTGCATATAGAAAGCTTCTTACTTTGTATTTGGGCGTCGATTATTATTATCATAAACTTGCCATTATAATGAAAGCTCAGAATAAGCGATAATGACACGGTATGTTACTGACATGTCCGCGTATGGTGCTGACAGTCCTCACTTCAGCTTTACCACGGTCCAAGATAAAAGTTTTTACACGAAACGTAACTTACATAATGTCACTAAAGTCATCCGATATCCATGTCAAGTTGTCGGTTAACTATTTTCAGAATAACCACGACAACGACCGTCAGTAAGTGCTGGCAGGAACAGAGAATATCCACTGGAATAATCATGAAGTAGCTGTTTTCCCTTTCCTTATTTGTATTTTGCTTAAAATTAACAGATACAGGTTCGGGATATTTTTTATGCAGTTCCATCTCCCACTGAATCAAAATAGGTATCTACCAGCACAGTAAATACGTCGCTTCGAGTGAAACCGGCTTGCAAATATTTACTTCCACAGTTACTTTTAGTGACCCTAAACTTCAGGTTGTTTGAGTTACCGTCTGTGATTTTTTGTGGAATGTGTCCTTATCATATTCTTCAATGTATAATTTTGCTACAGCGTTAGACCTAAGTTCTCCTCTGAAGACAATTTTCTAAATAATGGATCAAACCGTGAGGCTCACAGAACACTCATGGATGTGATACATTCTCAGCGACCTTTTCACATACTCTCCATCACGCAAATCAATTTGAATTCTTGATTGACAACCACAATACTTAAGCCCACTTGGTTACATAGAAGTTAACATTCCTGCGGCTTTGTAACAAAGCGAACACTGACTTTCTACTGATGCCGAAAGTATATCTATTGGCAGCAAACGTACACATGTGCTGTGATCTTCTCTACTTCATAAATGATTATGACGAGTACATCTAATCCGTACTTACTAAATTTAAGGTACACTTACTCAGTGAAACTCGTTAAAGGTATGTTAAAATTCTTCACAACGATAGAACTTTAATAAAGCAGCCTCTGTTAATAAAGAGCACCCAATTCAGTAGAGATTGAATTCAAAGTACATGATGCACGAATAATATTGACCATGAGTAGAAAACACCAAAACCAACCGAAGAATTTTATCTGACTGTAAAACATATAACTATACATGTTAATGATTGTGATTCATTAATAGGAATGTGTTTTCCAAAATATCCAGCACGTTCGGATTCACATATACTAGAAAAGCAAGACAGACCAGTAACAAGCAAACCACCTCAAGCTATTCAAATACACGGTCTCGTCTTTCAGCTCAATCACTCAAGGTCGTACCAACATAAGAGGTAATTTTAACGAGGTAGTGGTTCGTTTATTTGATTTACATAATCACTGCCCAAACACTTAGGTATATTTCAAACAGTTAAAATTTATGTTTATATGTACGTACATCTGTGTTATTAGACTTTTCCAGCATTAGCAATTATCGGTGTTGTTCGACAATCGTTTAAATAGTTATGTGTAGTCACAGTATTGAACTCCAGATGTCTAGATCTGGTTTCGTCAATGTAAACGTAGGGTTGTCCGCCATTCTTCTAGTGTCGAATCCGTGGACGATAAATATTCGTGCTGTCGAAAATGATTGGTTTTAAAAATGGAGCGATTTGTGGAGTACTTGTAATCATGATTTTAATTAATTTACTGACCATAAGGTTTTAAAAGTAATTGAAAGCTACCACCTCATGATCACAGCTAAATTCACAACAGTAGATACTAAACACTCACTGGTCTTATGGTCGATTTGTTAAGCTTTTATGAAGCTGGATAAGCTAATCATTTTCTGACGACGTAGAACTTGACTTAAGTGTGCTTCTACTCAAATAGTTATATCACATTGATAAAGCTGAATGTAATTATTGGGGCGAATATAAAATTAGTCGGAGTGGTATCACAATTGATGGTATGAAATAAAGCTGTGTGAAAGACGGCTAGAAAAGAAAGGATGCAATTTCTAAACGACAGCATGAATTAATGTTATTACACAGATTTTAGATAGGGAAAAGTAAATGGCGTAATTGCGATTTTGCAAGCGATTTTATTATGTGAGTGGATATCACTTTCAGGTTCTACACACGATTTCAGTTCGCACAATATAGTAGTCAAGAGGCAAGTTTACACTTCATATATGAAAAAAATATGTATGATAGGTGAAGGGTAGAACTAGAGATACAAAATACATCACTAACATTGTCTTTGAAAAGGTGGACGAGTGATATACATTCGACTACGTCATCTTTCGCTAGCGACAGCAGTTGGTTTATTTTGCCATCTTATTACCCTTGGGTAAACTATTTAGTGAGGAGACACCGAAAGTGTTTAACAATGAATAGTTTTAGGCTCCAATGTTACACTCGGCGTCAGTATTTCTGTAACATTCTAAACCGATTCATACCATTCACACAATGTGTCCTTGGTCGTTCATCAGTCGAATGTCAGTTGAAATCGTATGATATCTTGGATTATGATACTCCTCTTATTTTGAACAATGGTTTTGTTGACAATGTATTTTTTCCATTATATGAGCACCTTTTGTTTTAAAACTGTATCGACTATCACGTTTCAACTGCTTACCAGTATTCACCCAAAACGTTGAATGATATAAACGTCGCGAGTCCATTAACATCAAATGCGTTAGATTCGATTTGCAATTGAGTTTCATTCATCTGGAAATTCTCATTTTTTATTATTGTTTCAAAGTAACCTGTTTTCTAGAGATGAAAAGTGGACTCAGGTGTCTGGACTACTAACTATGAATTACCTAACTGTAACTGTAGAATGATTATAATCACGTAATACCTTGGATTATAACCTTCGTCGTGCTTCTAGTTATGATTTGGTCAATCGTATTTTTTTGTTGCTTACGATCACCCGATAGAATATTCTCAGGAGGTTTAGAAACCCAACTCAAACTACTTGCCTCTGGACATTTGTTTTCCATTTGTTTTCTGTTGATGAAAAATAAGACAAAGTGAATCAGTTAATTATATAGGAGTTTATTTATAATATCTTTCTTTTCGAACTAGTTAATAATTTTGTTTACTACCTGCATAGTCAAATTAATTTCCAGTACCCTCAAATAATTCACACGGGTTGCGGGACCTTAATGTGGAAAGTACATGTCTATGGACATCATTCGGTGCTAATAAAGTGAAACCTACCCTGTAAAATAGGCGGTTCGCTGTAACTATGTTATACTCCTAAGCTAATCAAAATAAAAATGAAACTTTTTTCACACGTAGTTCGAAAGGCAGTGGAGTAGCGCCATTCACCTTATGAATAGCTCAGATCTATAATTAGTAAGAAAATATTTTTTACCATCGTATAGTATTACGCAGTTTAAAGACGAATTTACATGAAAAACTTCTCATACAGACTCAGTAAGAAACACAGTTTGTTATAGGTTCGTTCTTTGTTAATTTATGCGGTGTAATCCCCCAACTAAATCACCTATACTGACTGAATTGTTGGTAGTTTCATGCTATTAAAATCTCCAAAATAGGTCAAGCTTCACTTAAGTAATGTTGTTTCATCGAAGTTGAGGGAAGTTTGCAAAACATTGTTGTGAAAACTATCAGGGATTGTTTATAAATGTATTTTTGACTTAATGAGTAGTCAGTCAGTCATAACTTAGAACCTGGTACGTACTTAATGAATTGGGTGTGGCGCACTCTTGTACCAATATTTATGTGTTCAAATAAATAAATAATAACTTAATGAATGACTCAATTATATACTGTCCTGTTAAACAAATGGGGTTTTGTAGCGAAAATAATCGGCTTCAAGATGATGAAGATCAATTACAAAGATTGTCAAACTATTAATCATGTTGAAGTCCCGCTGTTTTTAACAACAGATTCTTGACGATCCGTGTACGTCAACTTATGAGTTAAACATTCAACTTCGGAAATATAGTATGGATTTACCGGCATTTCCGTAAAACTATTTGTTTCCATTTCATTATCTGAAATTTTTTGTTTTCTGATTCATGAATATATGAATAGAACACACCATAAATTAATTCCGTTGTGTAAAACTTAAAAAGATAATAGCATTTATAATTTAACTCGAATCATAATGCATGCTTTGTATTTCGAAATATATGCTACTAGTTTTATTTAAGTAGCTAAATTCCTAAGTAGTTACATTAATCTAGCTAACATGAACAGTGAAATTAATTTCGAGAACTTATTCACTTAAGAAATAAGCAATGCTATTTTATTTCACTTACCATATACTTGATACTTATTATTTCTTATTATCATTGCTACTACATAATTGCGATCGCTTTTGCTGTTCTTGTTATTATCGTCTCATGCGAATATGCTACGGCAACTTCGACCAACGCACGTCCATGTGAAGCCCTACGTGAATGATGACTGACTGACTTTTACTGTCTGTTTCCATTTGCCTTAGGAGTTGATGTTTTCTGTTAATTTTTAGATCTTTCAGTATCAATAGTGTAAATAAAGCGTTTTTACTAGCAAAAATTACACGATTCAAAGTTAACCGAGGGATATTTCTATATGGTGATAAATACAGCATACGAAAAAAAAGTCAATTTTGATTTCGCATTATCGAATTCAGGTGGTTTTCACTCAGTTAACTTCAATGCATCGTCATGAATCATACCAACTAACTTTCATTGTAATTCAGATGTATTTAATTATTCGACTCTCAATGCACTGATTTGTAATGATTCACTATCATTTTGTATTAAACGACAATCAGTCAGGGAATAAAACATTAATTAATAACCACAGAATTGACATACTACTGAATTAGCTTGGATGTAAATTGAGTCTTTGTTTTCGTTCAATAAATCTTAGCAATATTAGTTTTTTGGATTAGCCATTGGGATGGAGCAAGCAGAACTGCTGTAAATGATATCGCGGTTGTTGTTAGAGTTACCGCTGCATATTCCGCTCCTTAAAAGCTTACCTAGTGCATGAAAACGGCTAGAAAGAAATCCTGAAATCAGTCCCTAGATGCTAGGCAAATTAGACAAGGTTATAACTAAGTTTAAGTTCATTATGCTTTGAATTCGGGGTTATTGCTTTGATTAGTGTATTGATTGGCTTCAGTTCTCTCTAATCTTCTATGTCGTCTAATTTTCCATATTCATTCAACTTCATCACACATGCTGATAAAAATAACTTTCTTCCTCTGGTTTCTCAAGGATTGGTCTCATCGGACAAGCTTCATATATTTACAGCATAAAGGTAAAATTTGTTTTGTGAGCGCTATGAGTAACAACTGATAGTTTTTCAAGTTGCGGTCTCGAAACTAGGTACAAAATATTTCCTCAGGAATAGCTGGTTGGTTTCCATTCTATCAATAGAGCGTGACATAATTAGGCAGGTTGCCTAGTGTCGACTGCGACAGTTTGGTGGCTGACGTTTTAATATACATACGAACAGCCTATTTATCATTAGTTCTGAAAATTAAAAACCTAGTGACTGTACTCTTTTTTATCCTAACAAGATTTTGTGTCAATGGTCTTATCCATTATAGAGTGAAGCAGTAAGATATATTCCTATATTACCGGTGACCAATTCTTGTCCTTAACTCCACTCATAATTTCAGGATCTTGTAATACGTATGCACCAAGGACTCAATATTAAGTCCTTCAGTTCACTGTAAAGTAATGGACTGATGGTTAAACAATCCGTCAAATCTATGAGCCATTTCGAGAGTATCACTAACCCTGATAGGCTGCTTAGGGCGCCTTTCTTCACTTCTAGGCGCAAGCTGGTCTGCATCAACGTCTCAACTAGTGATATAGAGTAATATATTGAAATGCGTTGACCAATCCACTCACCTTGAACGTCTTATCAACCTTGATGGTTTGGTATCTAGAGCAATCTCAGTTTGTATTCAGAAAGGTTGGTTGGTTTTTGCTACATTTATCACTTGTGAGGTCATTCTATAAAGTCATAGACTTACTTTAAGGTGTGGTAGTAGTTGCGGACTTCTGACCACAACGATCAGTAGGCATAAACATCTGGTGGCATGGTTCGAGACCAGTTTTAGTGGCCAGAATGTGGAGGGCCTACTTTCGAAGTTATGTCTGGGAGAAGTATTCGAACCATGTTCAACGCTATGTTACCATCTAGGACAGTGGATTGGTGCAGACAAAAGCAGGCATCTGGAGTTTTAATGTGAGTGATGAAGTGGTTGTCAAGTTACACCTTGGGAAAAATTGATGGGAATCTAAAGCTATTGAGAAGAAAATGGGGAATGTTTTGTAAAAAGTGCGTGGGACGTTCGGAACGTCAGTCGAACACACCAATCAAATCTATAGAGGGAAAAGGAAAATTAACACGGTAGATAGGCAAGGGAGTCTTCCACTGGAGATAATCACAGATACTCCAATGACAGGAACCGTAATGGAGAACGATAGGATGGAAGTTTGGAGTCGGAGGACCCTAAGACAAAAACAAAACGCTGTTGCAAACCACTTATCAAGCTACGAGTACACCCCAGCAGCAAATCTTGTTCCTGTGAAGTGTTGTGACGGCTTCGAAAAGCACGACGAAGCCTCCTGACTCTCTAAAGGAGCCGAAGAGATTCCATTCAATCAGAACATGATCGGTCGTTCTAGAATATCAACGTGTCATGCTACGATTGTACAATTGCATAACTTTTCTCTCTACAGATTGGCTGAATAATGATGTTATAGCCAATACTTATAACTATAAATACTCGTGTTTTTCTGTACATTTCTGATTCTTATTCAATGATCACTTCCCCTGCTTCTTCCGTCTTCTGATTTGCGACTGTAAGGTTCTATACGTTCGAGTAGCGTTATATGTGTATCGTATTCTACTGTTATCAAATAGAAAACGTAACAATTTAGTTTCTACGTAAAATTTTACCAAGAAGTTTGTAGTGAAAATAAGCGAATATTTATGATTTTTTTCGATCTGATAATGCTTGTAAATTATTCAATACCTCTCCATCTTAATAAGTGCTTGTCATTTTTTGTCATAAGACATCTACAAAATTGCATTTAATAGTCTAGTGATGGACTAACTAATCTTACTTAGTTTTGTATTTAAGAAGAATATGTCAAAGGTTCAAGTACTGGAATCAGCAGCTATATTCTGATTCTGATTAAATGCCCTGGTACGACTGAGAGTGGGATGAGTCAGTTCTCCTTATCCAAATATCTTCACATGGCCACGTACATACAGCCACTGACAGGGAAGTCCTACTCACTGCCTTCTCCCGGAAAAGTGAATGTCCAGCGCTTTAACCGGGTTGATAGATATGGAGGATCCACTTAGAAAAGTTGGAAAATCCTGATTCCAAATCAATGGTGTACATGGGCTCCAGTATCCTAAGGGAACAAATGGTGTATCAACCTGTTGTTGTTCACCTACTATCATGGGACGGAATCTCCTAACCTTAATCCATTACCTTGTGGATTAGACCTTTAGGTGAAAGGCTTGAGGTGTGACTCCTCAAAAAAACCATCTGCTTCAGTTTGGGCACCTGGGGAGTGTCTCAGCTCTCACACAAATCTTATGATTTAAATGACATATATCTGTTTGCTGCCCCCTCGTACCAATGTTTGTGTTTTTAAATAAATAAAACAAGTACCTAAATCAATAACCATATTCCTTATATTTCACTTTCTCAAGATCAATCACTGTAGCGGTCTTAACCTTAATTCTATACATTTAATATAATTATTGTGAAGTAATTTATACAGTATATTTTTACTATTCTTTAATTATTGTCGTACTAACAATGATTCATTCTTAGAAATATCTTAAGTCTGAATTCACTTGGTAATGTTTACTCGGATCTTCCCATTGTTGTTAAGGACTGCAATTGATCAGTCTCTTATTGGCATATGTGCATACTGTGCGTATTGCCTCGATATAGCCTTAATTCACAAGCATTATAAGCAAAGATGGATGTGGGCTAGCATTGGAATCCATAATGCGTGTTTCGTCCTGTTTGGGACTAGTCAGCTGATCGTACCTGCACCTCAGATTTGGTATTCACTCTGGGTCTCGAACCCATTACAGTTTGCTTCAAACGCCATCACGTTGTCCACTTAGCTACTGAGTCTTGGTAGCCACTTGCTTGTGCAATGGCGTAAAGTTTAAATCCGCCTTTATATTGTTTACATAAAGCTTCTCATTGTTATTTAGGACCACAATTGATCAGTCTCATATTGGTATATGTGCATACTGTGCGTATTGCCTCGATATAGCCTTAATTCACAAGCATTATAACACAAAGATGGATAGTCTGTTTATTCAATACAAGTCAATATTACTGTTAGTAATGTTGCTTCCTAACAATGTATTCTTTTTATAAAAGTCATGTGTTTGATTCATATCAAATGGTTGTTAAAATATCTTTTTATAATTTGTTAAACATCCTATTATTTGTTATAAGTTCATGACTTCTGATAGCCTCGTTTGTATACTGATCTATCTATCTACATAAGTTAACATCTATTTCAATAAATAACATATTTCATTATCAGAAGGGGTTTTTGTGGATATTATAGTAATTCCAGTAGTTGAGATCATGAATCAAGTGAAGCTAGATCACCATGGAAAATCTGGATGGTCGTTTCGACCTATTGTGGGACCTCTTAGCAATGCGCATCCACGACCCCGCCTCGCGAGTTTCGAACCTAGGACCTTCGGTTTCGAGCGCAAACGCTTAACCTCTAGACCACTAAGTTGGAAACGGATACAACGTGTAAACATTTCAAATCTGCCTCACAACTACGACATTCAGCAGTGACCAGTGGAGTTCTGTTGTAAGATAGTAACTCATTGAAGACAGTGGTGGATGTGTCGCTCAATTTCGTAGATTAGTTGAAGTTAGACATTAACACCGTTGGATGCTGGCTCAATGGTCTAAAAGTTAAGCGCTCGCGTGTGAGAATGACTGGCCTGTCGGTTCGAGTTTCGCAAGGCGAGATCATGAATGTGCACTGCTGAAGAGTTCCACAATAGGATGAAACAGCCATCTAATGCTTCCAGATTTTCCATAGTGATCGATCTTCAATTAATTCATGATCTCATCTATTGAACTTAACATATTTTAAAATGATTATACGGGAGAATTCATATTGAATTGTTTATTTTTCATAAAATTTCGGATCATTCGCTTTTTGTTTTATTACTTCGATCTATTTATTGGTTCTTTGCACACATCTTATTGTTCTCATTTCTAGAAACAGAAAAAAAATATATTAAAATGATGAACGTGATTAACTATTTCATGTTGTGCTTGTATGCATTTTGATGTTCATTTGTTATAATAAGCACTATTAAACGTTAGGGTGGCCGCTGATTTTTTTTTCTCTAATGGACAAGTAACACAATACATTGTGTATTGTATGTGTGTGTGTGCGTGTATGGGTATATGTGTGTATGAGCACTCATGTTATTGTGTATATGAATGCGTGCTTTCATATAAATGTGTACACAACTATACACCCAAGCAATCATAATGATTGCTCAATAATGCTTCAATGATAATATTCAATAATAATATGTTTGGATAGACACACACAATTAAGCTTGCTCATATCTTATAGTTTGTTGAATGACATTTATATTTTATACTTATGGATCATATATTGACAATTGGGCATCATATATACTATTTTTAATTAGATAATATAATCGAATTAATGAGAGATATTATATCATTACCATGACTTCTATAATTTGAATTATATTCCATTGTTGCTAAGTCAATGATATTTTAAGGATAAAATATATTCATAATTGAACAGGGAGATTAAACCATTGATACAAAAAAAGTTCTCATGGGTATATACCGGTATTATGTTATACAAAAGTGTTTATCCATTTTAATTTTGGTTAATTTCATTCAATTACAATATATTTAATCTAATGACTCAACCAAAAACTTCAGATACAAACTGTGATAATCCAATTAATTCAGTCAATCAAAATCTTACTAACGATTTTACTATTAATGATAATTTATTTTTATCAACATCTGAAGAACAAAGAAAGTGTGATTATCCATCACCTCATTTTTTTGAACATGATTCAACAAGATCCCAAATAATATCCAGTCAAGAATTATCTATTACATCTCCATCATCATCATCTCCTCCTATACTTGAACGTCAATTGAGTAAAGAATGTGTAAAAGAACAAAAATCAGAAATAGATAATAAAAATTCATTATCACCTATTACTTTTGGACTATCATTCAGTTCATCAACGTCGATTAACAATCAGTTACATTGTATTCCTACAAATGTTTGTTCAACAGTTGTTACAAGTGTTACAACGGTTACTTCTGTTCGACGTCCACGTCATAAACCTGCAGAACGACGGGAATTATTAGAGTTAGCCGTAAATGATGTGTTAGGTTCTCAAATATCAATGAGACGTGCTGCACAAAAGTATAACTTAGCGAAATCATCACTATGTGATTATGTTCGTAAAAATGGAATTATATTACCTAATTTACGTTTTAAATCTTATCAAACTATTCCAAGATCAACAGCTACTGATTTGGCTGTATCAAGTAAAAAAGTTACCTTATCAGGAAATACAAATCGTCAAACTTCGGCATCGTGTAAACGTAGCGGTTCACCAATATCTGGTGATACTTGTATATCATCTATGAGTCCTTTGCCAGCAAAATTATCATGTGGTATAACTCGTAAAGTGAATATTACTCGAACTAAGAATATAGATAATAATAATAAGCAACACTCGAAAATATCTGCAAGACCAGTTATTCAAATGGACAACTTATCCCTCGGAGTAGATAATGACAGAACTGTTTCATTAGCTAGTAATTGTGACTTAAATTGTATTCGTTCACTTATATCATCTGAAAAGACTAGTATTGATTCTTGTCCAAGTGAATATTGTTTATCAAATCAACATCATACAAATAATCAAAATAATCTATTTAGTGTATCCAACATATCTAAGTGTTTTACAAATGTTATCTCTTGTAAATCATCAAGTCGTGTTGAAAGTCCTTGGTATAATGCTGCTGGACTTCCTACTCAAGTACCTATGCGTTCATGGACAAATACTAATACATTAAGTGGTTCATTACAAAATATAAATCAACAAGAACAACAAACAATAAATATGAAAAATACATCATCTTTTATTCCATCTAGTAATAGTCTATTTAATAATCATCTACATTCTAATGTAGAAGATTCATTAAATAATAATTTATGTCTTAGTAAATCAAAACTCAATCATTCCAATGATTCAATAACAGATTGTTTACATGTTGCTAATTATTTATTATCTAATGAAACGAAATCACTTAATGATGAAATAAATAATCGACAAACTGATTGTTGTTGTCCAATTAATTCAAATAGTATTAATATAACTACCAATTTTCCAGTTGATTCTGTAAGTATATTTTGACAATTCAGTCTCCCCTTTCACAGTATGTATCTATGTATGTGTGTGTATGTATGACTTTTCAATGGTCAAAATAACAAACACCCTCTAGAACTTTTACGTAGTGATTACATTTCATTGCAGTTTACCAATTATCATTTGTTTATTCAATGTATATTATATTTCTGCGTTTTCTTTTTTTTATACTTTGGTTAGCCTATTTCCCAATTATCATCGGAATATGATCGACGAATATTTTTAAACGAAGAATCGGCCAAATCTTGGATTTTTAACAATTCAAATAGAAATATTAACGGATTATCAGATTCGGAACAATCAAGATCAATTTTAGATAGTACACAATCTCTTCGTAGTACAAACGAATCATCATCTACAGGAGTTTCATATTCACCTCCTAATAGTACTGTTAATTTAGATTCATCAACGAATTCAAGATTTTTAACTACTCCACTTAGTTTATCATCATCTAGTTGTCAGATTTTTTCAGACGAAACTACAAAACTTCCTTTTAAAACTACTCATTCTAGTTCAGATAACACGGATCATATTGGTATACAATCTGAATCTGTGAGTAGTAATAACACTGTTACTGATCGTTTTTTGTCGAATTCTACTACAGCATCTGCATTGTGTTCATTTCTTGGTCTTAATTCTATAAATTCTCACTTTTGTCAACCTTCAGCTTCAGTTTTTCAATCTAATTTATTACCTATTAATCAAGCAGCTATAGCTGCATTATTGTTGCAATATTCACGAGCTGCAGTTACTACTTCAACTGTTTCAGCTAATTCTATCAATTCTACTATATCAAATTATACAAATTGTCCTTCTGTTACTTCACCTCTCAATTCTTCACAACTTCAAAATCCAATTGATATTGTACAAAATCCATTAGATCATTCAAATCAAATTCATAAATCATTCAATCAAACAACACAATCAATTCCTTCTATACATTTACCTTTCACTACAAAAAATCATTATACAAATTCGGAACTTATAAATTCATTAAATTTTTGTGATCAACAAATTAATTTATTAAAACAATTTCCAAAGTTTTTAATTGAATCTAATACTGGAACAGTGTCATCACCAACTGAATTCATTATTCCATCACATTTAACTAATCAATCTGCTGCTCATTCATTGGTATGTTAGTTGTATTGATTCAATTCTATTTGTTAATTTATATTTTATTTCATATGAAAAGGTTATACTACTTATATTCTGGTTTACATTCCTATACTAGTCATCTTACTATTAATATGATGAATATAGAAATTCTTCTACATAACTTAAGATGATTGCAGTGTCACCCAACTCTATTTAGATTTAGTAATTAACGAATCACATGAAAGTTTGTAGACAATTCTTGTCAGTAGGTGTATAGTATACTTGTTGAGTATGTTGAACAGTTTGGTTTATAGCAAAAATATTCCAGAGATTTATTGGCTAAACAATACAAATACAAAAAACATTTATTTGTTTATGTAAATACATAAACATTGGTACGAGGAGGCACCGAATAGATATACGCCACACAAGTCACTTGATTTGTGTGTGGACTGTGACACTACTTGGGTGCCAAAACCCAAGTAGATGGTTTTCTTAGGGGGAGGCCACTCTCGGAGCCTTCGACCTGAAGGTCTAATCCATAAGATGGTGAAGCAACGTTAGGAGATGCAATTCCATGGTAGCCGGTGGCGAATAATAGGTTCATACGCCATTTGTTCCGTCAGTAAATCCTTAAACCCATGTACACCATTGGCTCTGGATCATGGTTTTCTAACTCCTCTACGTGGGTTCTCAATATTCACGAACCCGACTAAAGTGCCGGACATTCGCTTTTCATTCTCAATTTCGTAAACAACACCCCCGCCGGGAGAAGGTAGTGATTAGGACTTTCTTGGTAGTGGCTGTATGCACGTGGCCATATGAGAGTATCTGGAGAGGGAAAGCTGGCTCTCCCAGCCTTCGGCCGTACTAAGACATTTGGGTTTGCAGAAAAATCTAAAAGGAAATTTCTTTTGTATTTTATTTATTTATTTCATTTCGATAGTTTATATTCATTAATATTTCTTCACTAGAAACAGTAATATTATCAGTACGTTCAATAGACTGAGACATTTCTCTATATGTTAAAGGATTATTTGAATAAAACTATGAGATGACCTATTATGGAAAACAATTCCTAGTAGATATTATATGAACTTTAATGTCAGTTGTCTCATTATTTAATGCATTTAATTCGTTAATCACACTACATACGAGAGTTATTGTTAAGTTTTTTTTAAGACCTACTGCTTCGGTTTGGGCACCCGTACAGTATTCCAGCCCTCACACACCTTTAATCTTTTAGATATGTCATATGTTAGTTAAATAACTACCAAATTATATATATCTATACACTATTATTTACGTACTATTATATTTGAAATAGTTTCAGCGATTGAATCCTAAATAATCCCAACAGTTCGTCCTATAAATTTGTTTAATCTTCTTCAGGATAATAATCAAAATCAAATTGTATAGAACGTATACCATCTAAAATGAAATAATTATGTACATTATGTTATACATTTATAATTGCAATAACTGAAATCATGAGTCAATTGAAGCTAGATCGCCATGGAAAACCTGGAAGTACTTTAATGGCCGTTTCGTCCTAGTATGGGACTCCTCAGCACTGCGCATTCACGATCCCGCCCCCCTGCGAGATTCGAACCTAGGACTTATCAGTTTCGCGCACGAGCGCTCAACCATTAGCCAACTACCAACTTCCAGGTTTTCCATGGTGTTCTATCTTCAATTGACTCATGATTTCAACTATTGAAATTATTAAAATGTCCACAAAACCCCTTTTGAGCATACATTTATTTTGTTGTTATTTTTTCATTATATTCAAAATGCTTAACGAATTCAGAAGTAACACTAGTAATGTGATTTCAATGATGAATATTTGTATTGAAGTTTTTATCAAGTTAAAATAACTTCATATCTCTTTCACTCATTTACACGCACTCATTGATCTGTACAAATACATAAACAATGTTTTGCAATTGTAATTTTATGTGAAACATGTAAAACAAAAGAAACAATTGATTTAGTTCACTATTGAAAAAGATAATTATAAATGCTTTCCATATTGATGCAGATTTAATAGATAGATGAACGGGTTAAATGAGAGAGAGAGAGATCATGATGTGATCGGATATAGGAAAAATGTGCAGATTGTTATGATTACGGTAGTATTATTATTATTTATTTAAACATATAAACATTGGTACAAGGATATACGTCACATAAATACTGCCTGGGTGCCCAAACCGAAGCAGGTGGTTTTCTTAGGGGGCCACACCTGGAGCCTTCGGCCCAAAGGTCTGATACACAAGGCAGTGTAGCATCGTAAGGAGATGCAGTCCCATGGTAGCCGTTGACGAATAATAGGTTCATGCGCCATTTGTTCCCTTAGGATACTGGAGCCCATGTGCACCATTGGTTCTGAATCATAGTTTCTCAACTTGTTTAGGTGGACTCTCTGTGTCCACCAACCCGGTTAAAGCTCTGGACGTTCGCTTTTCTTCCTCTGAATTTCGTAAACAACAATAATGCCGCGCGAAGGCAGTGAGTATGACTTCCCTGACAGTGGTTGTATGAACGAGATCATGTGAGGGTATTTGGAGGAGGAGAGCTTACTCTCCCCACTAATTACGGTAGACCAAATGATGGTGATAGAAATTACCAAAAAAATAGTTGTGAATTAATCATATTACTAGAGATAAATAAAACACTGGTAATTAATAATAATATCTGGAGAGGGTGTGAGAAGATGGAAATATTTAGGTATCTAGGCTGATAGTTGATAATATATTTTACTGAACAATGTTTAAATAATACAACTAGCTGTGATAACTGTAGATTATAAGTGAACAATAAAAATGTGATCAAATAAAGATGAGGGCAAGTAAACAAAGTAGGGGAAATAAAGGAGACAAAGCACAGAAGTAAATCGGTCACCATGGCAGGACCAAATGAAACACAATTTCTTTTTGCATACACATAAGCTTGGTTTTAGACGACGAACACCTACTTCTTGTAAGTAACGTAAAAGTGTGTCATCATTCTATCGATTTATTTTTCGAAAAGCAGTGTCAGGATCTAGATTAAATTCTTTGGGATATATTCATAGATTCTTTTAGGCAGTATCCTTTCTGTTCCTCCAAAACATGTAATAGTGCATGTACGAGTAAGTATATGTATACATTTGTAAGTCACTAGAGGTGACGTGCTATCCAAGTTATATCTTCTGAATAGTCTTTTATGTTCCATGTATGATTATTAAGTCTGTGGGAGAAAAAGGCAATGAAGTAATTGCTCTTAGTGGACGCCTATTCTGGGAACAGTGGGTTGTCGTTACGTTTAATTTATCGACCTAAAGTTTTTTTATTTAGAAACTTTGTGGATACTCAGTCTCCGTTAATTAACTTTGAAGAGTTTGTAATTCTTTATCGATAGAATCTTCAAAACGTAGTTAGTTTATCCTTAAGAACAAAGTTCTCACAAGACTTCTTTTATATATGATTGGATGGAAGCTATTAAATTGTTCTTGAAGTCTTACGGTATTTGGAACGTGAAAATGGAACCGTCTTCGTTTTTTGTTGTCGTTAAATTTAAGAAACTCATCTAATTTCATACTGCATCCTTACACGTGAATTTCAGATCTACATAAGCTGTATTGAAGCAGATAATATTGATCAACATGATCTCTTTTACCATACATGATGAAAGTATCATCGATATATCTCAAATAGAGTGAATTTGTTTACTCATACGCTTCAGTTTGGTGTTTTCTAGTTCCAGAAAAATATCAGCGAATGTAGGGTTTATTTAGCTGCTTATTTCAAGACCTGTTTATCGGTAGTACTTTTCGTTGAATTAAAACTGCTCATTCTTTATGCATAACAGTAATTACTCTTTCAGTCTCTTCTTTGGAAAACCAGTCATGTCATCACGACTAAGTATGGTGTCAGTAGTCTTTTTTAGTGGGGATTCTGTTAATAAGCTCTCCACATTAGAAAAACCGTATACTTTCTGTCCAAGTTAATACCGTCAGTTTTATTAATAAAGTTGAAACTGTCTTTCAGACTGTATGCAGACATTTTTCCATTATGGGTAGGCCACCGAGCAGCGTTACGATACTTTGGATTATTCATTACTAGGATCGGTTGTAGAGAGATATCAGTTTTTTTAGTCTTGGGTAGACTGTAGTGTCAGTTATTATGCCAAGCCCATATACCTTATTCTAGCTTTCGGATATCCCATTTTATTCATTCTACTTTAGTCATATTTTGACCTTGTCAATTATTCGCTTGTCAGTCTTGATTGTTTTTATATGAGCGTATATGTGTGTGCCCTTCTTATCGCGTTAATCACATGTCTGTAGCTTTATTTTGTCTGACTATAAATATTGAGTAACGCTTGAGTAAAATGGAGTTGGCTTCCCAGCCATGTTCCCTGTGTGTCATTTTGCTCTGTTCTATTACATTCACTTTACATACAAAATATATGTATTCAAAGGCCATTCTCGTTAATTGACTTATCTGAATTCCGTTATTGACTAACGTGATTTAAGTCGACGGTGATGTACGGGAATAGGCGATAGCAAACATCCATACGTTCTAATTGGAGTCAGATACACGGGCCACTAAAATGGTAACCCCGACGTGGGAACAGGAAACGACGGGCCACTAAAAGACTATACAACTTCAGTATGCAAGAACCTTTTGTATTTGTTGGTTCAAGAACTAAGGTTAATAAGTGCCTCCAAAATCGATGGTCTAATGCTAAACTCTCAGCTTAATTGATCGAATCGATAAAACAGTTATTCTGAGCAATATTTTAGACCCTGTCCGACTACGTCATAGTTACCGTGTACTTCGGTACAATCTCATTTATATGTTAACACCGGCATTTTAATTATGACCTCTTCAAAGTAAGCTAAAACTGAAAAACGGCAATGTGCTAAATTAAATACCCCTGAACATCTTTGAACATGTAAAACTATTTTTGAGATTTCCTCATGAAATTGAATCTTTATTAGAGACTGTCATACATTTAATCAATCCCGGTGAAGTACTTAGTGTCAAAGTGTTTTATGCTAGAAATTATTTATCATTAACCGTTATTCTCATTAATTTAACTCTATAATAAAGGTCTTGTTAAATTAATAAAGATTCTACCTTCTTACGGTAAATCTCTTGTAATTTGTACCTTTTATAAATTTAAAACAAATGAGAATGGGAATATTTGCTCTCAAATCCCCTGATACAGCCAAAGGGTGAGAAGAGTTCACTATCCCTCTCCAAATGCTCTCACATGACCACGCGTATACAGCCACTACCAGGGAAGTCCTACCCATTGCCTTCTCGCAGCATTACTGTTTACGAAATTCAGAGGACGAAAAGTGGACGTCCGGCACTTTAATCGGGTTGGTGGATGTGGAGGATCCACGTAGAGGAGCTGGAAAACCATGATTCCAAACCAACGGTTTACGTGTGTTGGGTTTAAGGATTCACTGACGGAACAAATGGCGTATGAATATACTATTCGTCACCGGCTACCATGGAATTGCATCTCCTAACGTTTCACCGTCTTATGGATTAGGCCTTTAGGTCGAAGGCTCCGAGAGTGGCCCCCTAAGAAAACCATCTGCTTGGGTTTTTAGGCACCCGGGTAGTATCACAGTCCACACACAGATCAAGTGACTTATGTGGCGCACATGTATTCGTCGCCCTTTTGTACCAATATTTATGTGTTCAAATAAATAAATAAAGCAAAATACAATGTATTCATTTTATTTTGTTTCTTTCTCTTCATCTACCTGCATACAAGCTAGTTTTTGTAATTTTTTCTCACTTAATAACATAATTTATTGACAAATAAATTGTTAATTAATTCCGTAATCCTTTTATAGTGTATGAGTAGGTTGGAAGAAAGCTAGTGGCGGTCAGACCAAAGCATGGTACAAATCCATGAAGTCACTAACAATTGGACTGAGCCATGTTAGTAGGTGTAGACTACCTGGTTGGGATCTTTTATGTTTGTCCTAACAGATTATTATGTCAAGTAATTGCATCAGTTATTCATGTTTGTTTCTGAAAAGTGTACAACCTTTTGTTGTCCAAGTTACAAAATAGTACAATCAGAGACATCGTGGTTGCTGGCAGACAATATGCATTAGGAACAATGTACATTATTCAAATGTCGATTGTTGAACTGTTAACATCTAACTGACGATCACTCAACTATTTACCATTAGGATCGATCAAGATATAAGAAACAGAAACTTGTTGAAATACTTTGCGCTGAGAATTCTATATTGTACCATAAATATAATATTGAATAAAACTAATAATGATAAGAAATTTAATTGTGTTACGTGGCTCAAACTGAGTTTCTATCAGCTAATCGTTAACATTTTGTCTCTACGAAAAACGTCGATTACATAATGATGATGATTTATGTAATCATTCAACACATTGACAACTACTTATAAATTTTATTCTTAGTAATAACTAATATAGGCATTTTATTTTATTTTTAACACATAGATATTAGTACAAGGAGGCACCAAATACATATGCGCCACACAAATCTCATTCGATATGTGTGAAGGCTGCGATACTCCCGGGTGCCCAGACCGAAGCAGGTGGTTTTCTTAGGGTGCCACTCCCCGAGCCTTTGACCTAAAGGTCTAATCCACAAGGCAGCGTAGCATCGTGAGGAGATGCAGTTCCATGGTAGCCGGTAACCAAGGAATTGGTTCATACGCCATTTGTTCCCTCAGGATACTGGAGCCCATGTGCACCACTGATTTGGGATCCGGTTAAGGCGCCGGACATTCGCTTTCCGTCCTCTAATTTTCGTAAACAACACTCCCACCACGAGAAGGCAGTGAGTAGGATTTCCCTGGCAGAGGCTATATACTTGTAGCCATGTGAGAGAATTTCAAGAGGGAGAGCGAACTCTCCCCACTCTCGGCCGTACCAGGGCATTTGGGGGCAATGTAGGCATTAATTATAAAGTTTAGTTAATTGGACTGAAGTTCAATGAACCTCGATTCCTAGTGTAGCGCTCTATCAGTTTGACACGTAGACATTTACCACACTTCTTTGGTATATGCAAGTAGATAAATAAACAGTGTTACATTTCTGCTTCATGTTATTTTGTGCATTATATATATCAGGTTTTCAATTTATTTTCTCAAATATTTCCTTTATACATGTTTTTATATAGAGGCAATTGGCAAACACTTTATTTTGGAGTTCACTTGGTTCTAAAGCTATAGATTTACTTTCAACATTTGGACCGAGCATATTACAACCATCATCATCATCATCATCAGCAGCAACAGCAGTAGCATCACAAGAACAACGGATTAATTCAGTAAATTTATCAAATTCTTCATCAATTCATACTAGCACAACAACTATAACTCCAACATCTATAGCTGTAACAAAAAGTGGAATAAAAGATTTTCCTATAAATCTATTGAATAATAATAATAATAATATTGATAATCAAGTTAATTGTTGTAGAAATATCGAATCTATCAAAGTTCATCAACCGATTACATCAATATCAACAACAAATAATCCATCTACTTTATTATTGAATAGTGATTTATTAAGAAATCAATTATTTTTACTTCATTCCACTAATTCTAACATGTCACATCATGTACAAGGTCTTATTAATTTTATAAATAAATCACCAACACCATTCCATGGTAAGTAAAATAGTGTATTATATTTTGTTTACATATTATAGTTTATCTGATTATTTTAATGAATATTAACATTTAGTATATTCTCTTCGAATATAAGCCTCCAAATGCCCCGGTATGGCCGAGAGTGGGGTAAGCCCGCCTTCCTTCTCGAAATGCTCTCACACGGCCACGCGTATACAGCCTCTGTCAAGGAAGTCCTACTCACTGCCTTCTCGTGGTGGGAGTGTTGTTTACGAAAATGAGAGGACGGAAAGCGAATGTCCGGCGCCTTAACCGGATCCCAAATCAGTGGTGCACATGGGCTCCAGTATCCTGAGGGAACAAATGGCGTATGAACCAATTCCTTGGTTACCGGCTACCATGGAACTGCATCTCCTCACGATGCTCCACTGCCTTGCGGATTAGACCTTTAGGTCAAAGGCTCGGGGAGTGGCACCCTAAGAAAACCACCTGCTTCAGTCTTGGCACCCGGGAGTATCGCAGCCCTCACACAAATGTGTGGCGCATATATTTTTGGTGCTCTCTTGTACCAATATTTATGTGTTCAAATAAATATATAAATTCTTCGAATATAAAAATGGTTCCCATTTGATGGTTGGGCCTAGAATTGGCATATTATGCATCCTGTGCGGATTTTCTCGATATTGTCAGTAAATCATATGCATTTTAGGCAAAGATAAATTTAAGATGTGTGTTTTGTCCTATCTGCCACTTGTCAGCTCAATTCACCTGTACAATAATGTTAATTTTTCAATTCCACTGCATAAATGAGTTGAACTGTGTTGTTGACTTAAATTGTATTAGTAGTATTACTATGAGTAAACTAGTTTAAACAAAATAATATTGAAATGCACTGAATACATTTAGAATAATTTTACACTTTACATGAAATGGTAATAAAATTGTTACAAAATTAATAACCACGACCGTTGTTTCTACCTTGACATGGTGGTCGGGCTTACCTATCGTGATGAACCAATCGAGCTATGCTGGCTAGAACAATCGTTCCTCAAGGTCCTACCATGCCAGACAAGTCGGTCGAAGAGTAGTAAGACTAAAAGCAGTAAACCGAAGGTCCGGAAGCGAAGTCGTACTGCTGACCGTACAGAGGTGTGACGGCAGTATTGGTGTTTCCTGCAGACAACCAGCATAACAGCGATGCTGCCTTCTCACAAGGACAGGTGGGCTTAGAAAAGGTCGACCCTAAAAATGCACAATTCGCCTTACCCAAAGATATCCGTCTCCTGCGGTAAGATCTCAACGATTATGGAGCTAACACGAAACTTACTTACAAAAAGCTCGTATGTGACCGACCTCAAGCAGTTGTCCCTTGGGCACTGCAGTCACACTCTCAGGTCACTAAGACCACCTTCAATCCAATTTCCTTTTCAGGTACCTCTAGAAACACCCTTCCATGATGTGGGCAACCGGGAAGTGATAACCGCCCTCATACCTCTAGCAGCACTCAGAATTAGTAACCATAGTTATCTTTTTTCTTCTAGTTATAACTGTATTATAATGTAGCATATAACTACTCAATTTCAAATGATCACATTAATTTATTTTAGTGTATATTATAATGTATAACAGGGTTATCAAACTCATTCTTTTCTCTTTCTCTCTCTTATCTTAAAAATGATATCTAGAATTTAGTACATCTTAATAATTTTCGAATGATTTGTATCCAAGTTAGAGATTGTCCATTAAATCAGTAATTTCATTACAATTCATAAATTTCGTTAATGTTTCGTTTTTTTTCTTTTTTCTTTTCTCTCTTTCTTTCTCTTTATTCTTTATTCTTTACGTTCTTATGTGCTTTATTGTAGGTGCACATTTATTTCTAAGCTTTATATATATATACCTGAACTCTACTACTACTGCTACTGCTACCAACTACTACTCAATTCTTGGTCAACTTAATGTATGGTATATTTTATCTACTTATTATTATTATTATTGACTAAAGTTCTGTAGAAAATCATACTGTTTACTGTTTATTCTTGACTAAATTTACGACTATATTTATTTGTTGTGGTATATATAAATATATGTATCTATACACTTAACAATACTCTCATACTGTACATAAATTTTTACATTAGAATGTTCTCATTTACTACTACTACTGAACTGATCATAAATTATGTAATAAAAGAAATAGAGGACAATTGTTGTTGAAATTTTGATATGTTTCTTTCTAAACTATCTATCTATCATCTTTCTTTTTCTTTTTCTTTTCTTTTTTTCTTTATACTTTCATTACAACATGATTTTTCTTTTCGTTTCTTTTTCTTTTTTCAGAGTAATTTGATGTTTATATACAAACATATTCGTTTGTTTTCTTTACAATAATAAACAACAACAGGTTTAAACCTGTTAATATATATAGAAAAACAACATTATAAGCCGTAATTATGTTTTGTATTTTGTGAAAATGACAGTAATCATGATAGAGAATAAATAACATTGATTTCACTGTTGAGTTATTAAATGAGATCAGTTTATTTTACTACTTAATGTTTTAGAAAGTAGTCGTACGTGCACACACACACACACAAACTTCACTCTTGCAAAAATGAGCTAGTTGATAACATGTATAGAGTACTCCTAGTAGTACTAGTAGTAGTATAAGAACTCAGGTATAGCAAACTAATTTATTGTCTTATACAATATTACAAAGTGTCTTTGTGAAATATGAAAATCATACATTAAATACATTATTTATATATCTTCCATCATTTATCCTTGATATACTTCATGATTCTTTTAATTCTATTGCTATTTCGATTGTTCTCTGTTTCTATTCTTGTTGTATTTAATTCAATCTTCTTGTGGCAGACATTTCACTTCTGATTACTGCTACATACTACTTATATCTGTCAGGATATATATATTGCATACACTACAGTATTAGTAGTAATAAAAGTAACGTGAACGTGAACACAGGTGGGGATAAACAAATGTATTTTAATAGTTGAATTCATGAGTCAATTGAAGTTAGATCACCATGGGAAACCTAGAAGCACTGGACAATCGTTTCATCCTAGTATGGGACTCCTCGGCCGTGCACACCCTGTCCCTCATGCGGTATCGTGGATGCACACTACTGATGAGTGCATTACGAGGACAAAAAAGCCGTCCAGTTCTTCTAGGTTTTCCATGGTGGTCTAACTTCAACTGACTCTTGAATTCAAATATTAAATTACTAAAATCTTCACAAAACCCCCTTATGATAAAAATGTATTTTAATACAAAAATGTGAAAACTATACGTTCAATACTACCTTTGCAAATATTCCATCAATTGTCTTAAAAGTCACCGTTTCTTCATTGCCATAACAATTATTTTCTGTTCCCGTTCTCTTCGACTCGATCTTCCCAACTTTCTGTTACTAAGCATTCCACTTCGGACTAGCGTTATATACTACTTATATCGACATAAGTAACACACACAACAGTAATTTACATTTAATTACATTTCTGCTTCAATTGTTGCCATTATTTTCATTGAATATGATTTCTATGATAATGAAAATTATAAATTCGATTTGTGTAAACTTTTTCTCAGTTTGTTCTTTATTTGGTTCATATCAGAATGGGTTTTGTGAATATTGTAGTAATTTCAAAGGTTGAGATCATGTGTCTAGCTTCAATTGACTCATGATCTCAATCATTGGAATTACTACATTATCCACTTAACTCCTTTTGATATGAATCAACATATGCTCACTAATGACTGGCTTCAATAGGTATTTCTCGGAGTTCTAGTGAGAAGCAGTGACTACTTGAGTTCAACCAGGTCTGTTGTGAGATAGTAACTCACTGATGACTATGGTGGATGTGTCAATCAATTTCATGGATTGATTGAAGTTAGATATTAACACCGTTAGATGCCAGCCAGCTCAGTGGTCTAGAATTTAGGCGCTCGTGTGCGAGACTGATTTGCCCATGGGTTCGAAACCCGCCAGGCGAGATCATGGATGTGCACTACTAAGGAGTTCGACAATAGGACGAAACACTCATCTTGACCATTGACATATTCTTTATTTGTTTTTCTTTCATAAAGTATTTCTTATCTAACCGTGATATACTTGTACCTTGTGTAAGTTATAAGATCAAATTATCATTTTTTGTGTTTCATTAAAAGTGTTCTTCAATTTCACGGTCTGAAAGAGATGGAGTTTTTTGTTATTAAAGAATTCTAGCAATGATTAGAGGGAGATTTTAACGATAGAAAAAAAATTTAAGTACACCATTTGAAACTAAGTGTACTTATGATGTTTATATCACCTAGGAAAAAAAAGATACCATATAAACTCTATATACTAATCATTAAATACAACTGTTGTGATACAGTACACTATTTTAGAGATCAAGCGTTGAAAATTATTATCAGAAAGGAGGGGATTTTGTGGATATTACTAAGTAATTTAATAGTTGCGATCATAAGTCCATTGAAGCTTCCAGTGTTTCCAGGTTTTTGCATGATGGTCTAACTTCAATTGACTCATGATATCAATTATTTAATTTAAAATTATCATTACAAAAATCTGAAAAAAACCCCAGGTAAAATTCATAAAAGTAACTATCTGTTACCAGTTTTATGGTCGTCACTTGAATAATATTTGTTTAATTTTATTTTAGTCTTTATCAGTATAGGATTGTGGAGGCTATTAAGTTTTTGATTTAGATTATGAACTGATTGGTGCTATACCACCATTGAAAACTGGGAAGTACTGGATGGCCGTTTCGTTCTATTATAGGACTTCTCAACAGTGCACATCTATCATCCCGCTTCTCGGGATTCGAACTCAGGTCTTTCAGTTTCGCACACGAACGCCTAACTTCTAGACCATTAAACCGGCCGGCATTCAAAGGCGTTAATGTCTAACCTCAACCAATTCATGAAATTGTGCGACCATATTCTATTGTACTGAAGTAGATACTTATCTCTAACCGACACGGATTAACTCCACTGTTCTCTAGTGCTCACATACTAAT